GGACCATGACCTGAGCCGAAGGCAGACGCTTAACGACTGAGCCACCCAGGCGCCCCTTGAGCAGGGTTTTTGTTTGTTTGGTTTAAGTAGGCTCGATGCCAGTGTGGAGCTTGATGTGGGGCTTGAACTCACGGCCCTGAGATCAAGCCCTGAGCTGAGATCAAGAGTCAGAGGCTCAACTGACTGAGCCACCCAGGCGCTCCTTGAGCAGGGTTTTGAGTGTCCTGAGGATCTGTTCTCCCCAGAAGCTGTAAAGAACAATTCTAGGTCTGGCTCCTACGGTTGGCTCTTAGATGAGTCACTCAGTTCTCTTCTTTGGGCCCCAGTTTCCCCTTTTGGAAAATGAGGGGATTAAACCAAATTGGTGGTTCTCAAAGCTTTGATGTGCTAGATTTCTAGGCTTCCACCTGGTAGACTCTAATTCAGTAGAGTTGGGTGGGGCCCGGGCAGCCACTCTGGGGAAATTCTGATGCCCGTTAATTTGAGAATCGTCCACCTGGACCATGACTGACATTTGATTTGAAAGCTAATGTCCCAGGATATTGTGGAGTGTTTTTTGAGGAGGAGGAAGACCCATCCAAAGTGCACACGCAGGAAGAGGTGGGTAAAGTTTAGAGAGTTAAGTAACTGTGCATGACAGCCGGCTGATATTGGTACTTCCTGAAATTTCTGAGACTCAGGTCTCGTAAAAGCTTCCCCAAAGCTCACAGACTGACAGGAAACCACAACAGGGGTAAAATGCAAACATAACACACCCTATCAGACATGGGGGCAGCTCTCCATGCAGCATGATAACTTGTATCATTGAAGTTTAGAAGTCATTTGTTTTAAATCTGTGCATTTTTCTTTTTTTGGTGGTATGGAGAACTCTGAAGGAAAGGAGATGTGGATTCAAAAGGGAATAATTTTTACATGTATATCTCCCAGTATAAGAACACTGATCTCCAAGTAGGTTCTTTTGTCTTTAAGTCTTTCAGATTATTGATTCACAGTGATGAAATCCTAGGACACATATGTAATCTCTATATCATCTTAGTACCTTGGGCTATATAGACTGAGCCTATTTTTTTTTTTCCTCCAAAAAGGTGGTTTGTAAGGGTTAACTTCAGCCCAAGATTATAAATACAGATTATATTGGTAAAGTGATCTACTCTAATATTAACTTTAGGAAATTAGAAATAAGACTCAAAAGTATGAAAAGCACATGGGCATATAGTAAGTGCTCAAAAATGTTGGCTTTTAATATTAGCTGATCACAGGATCAGCTTTCACTAATTTGTCCTTGAGTTACAAACTGCTGTTGACTCAGGGATTGTTTCTAAGAAGACAAGGTTCCTGAACCTCCAGGTAGCAGGAAATAGACTTTTCTTTTATTGCAGCTTTCCCCAAAGACCTTTATCCAGACTACTCTATGGGATCCTTCAGATGAATTTGGGTGATGTGCAGATCTTCTAAATAACGTTCTTTAGAATTGTACTTATTTAAGTATAAATATCACCAGTAAAATATCTGTATTTAAGAGTCTTTTCTTTTTGGGGCACCTGGGTGGCTCAGCTGGTTAAGCATCTGCCTTCAGCTCAGCTCATGATCCCGGGGTCCTGGGATGGAGCCCCGAGTCAGGCTCCCTGCTCAGTGCGGAGCCTGCTTCTCCCTCTCCCTCTGCCCGCCTCCCCCCCACCCCACCCCCCTGCCATGCTCTATCTCAAATAAATAAAATCTTTCTTAAAAAAAGAGTATTTTCTTTTTATGACAAAAGACCATTGTTTCACATTATGCTGATATCAAGTTTCCTTTTAAAATGAATGATTCAAGTGGAATAAGTAAGTTGATTTAGAGAAAGCTGTTAAGTAGTAATAATAGAGGAGGTGGTACCCAGAAATGGTAGAAATCGTGGCAGTGCATGCAAATGACTGAGTTTTGAGAAGTACTGTGTTAGTGAATTGAACCCACTTGCTCCCCATTTTGCTCCATATGAAACTATTAATCAACACTCACTTTATGGAGTTTGCATCTATACTATAAGCATTTTGTGCTGGACAGGACCTTAAGGTCTTCAAAGAACAACCCTTCTTATTTTAGATTTTTAGATGTTTGAAGGTCTTTTATTTGGGAGAGGATTACATTTATTTTATTTGATTTCAAGGTGTAGAAGCAGGACGAGGGGGTTGACAGGAAGGCAGATTTTAGCTCAATGAGGAGAAATACTTCAACTAAACAAGGAATGAGCTGTCTTCAGAGAGGATGGGCTCCCCAAGACTAGAGGTGTTTATGTTAGCAGTACGTGACAACCCTAGGGGACATGGGGAAGGGGATGCTCTCTATCCAAGGACCGGATGGGACCTAAGGTCTTTGCCACTCTTGAGTGTCAAGGAATCTGAGGTAGCCTTTCTTTCCTTTCAAATGGCTTATCATAAGAAACCATTATCTTCAATTGTCTCAGTTTTATGGAAAAAGCAATTAAATCATTTGGGAATTTCCCTTCCCCACACAACACTTTTTTGATTAAAAAAATTATGCAGGGACACCTGGGTGGCTCAGTCATTAAGCGTCTGCCTTCGGCTCAGGTCATGATCCCGGGGTCCTGGGAGCCAGTCCCACATTGGGCTCCCTGCTCAGCGGAGAGCCTGCTTCTCCCTCTCCCTCTGCCTGCTGCTTCCCCTGCTTGTACTTTCTCTCTCTCTGTCAAATAAATAATATCTTAAAAAAATAAAATAAAAAAATAAAAAATCATGCAAAAAAATTATAAGAACCTTTTTGGTGCTAAATGAGAAAACATGTGAACATAAGCCCGCTGGTTTAACAATTTCCTGCAATGTATTTTCAAAATCAGGTGGTTAAATACTTGATAGTTTGGGATTTGCATTTTAATCAGGGTTTTGTTTAACAATAGGCTGTAATTATTAGAGAGGTATGTAGATCAGTCTGGTAAATCAAAAGTTCCATCACTTTACACTCAGAGAACTGCTATTAAGAGCTTACACTTGGACTCTAAAATGCAGAATTATTAGGTTGAACCAGGTGAACTTGTCATTTTGTAGACAAAAACGTACACTGGCAATTTCATATAGTTCAACCTAATACTAAAGATACTTATGAACAGTTTTATAATTTCCAATACATTTGGATATCGTTTTCTACTAAACTCAGAATTTGCCTTCGCATACTGATCAAAGAAACATTATCACAGTAATCCGAATTATAATTCAGCATGATTTCTTCTAAAAAGGCTCCCGAGTTCCTTTTGACTTGTTATTGCACAGCAGATTTTTCATTTGCAAAGACCTTAAGCCCTCTAATGTGCAAACCATTAAGAAGCCAATTGTTCCAGCAAGGTTTGCCCAGTGGTGAGAAACAAGATAAAACTCCTGCGCACGCTGAAACCAGGTGGGGAGCCCGTGTGTGGTAGTGCTTGGGGGTAGAGATCTATTCATGAAATGAGGATTTAACAAAGCATGATCCCAGCTTCCTTGCCTGTTCACATGAGAAACCAAAGCTTCAATTTAACTGCAAGCAGTGAGTTTCACACTGTCAGCACCAACTGTCTGAAACCCCAAACTGGTATCTAAATGTGAAGGACCAAAACTAAAAAATGTAGAGCGACTTAGTTAAATGTCAGATTCTCTCTTCAAATATACTGAACTGAGTGTTTTATCTTTTCCATAGGACATTCATTCCGTGTTAAAAGCTCCTAACTTTCCCTCCAAGTTCTGTTTTTCAGCAGAGCCTTTTAAAAATTCATGCTTATTGACAGACAGGGAAAGATAGGAAATTTGAAACTCTTTGTGAGAAAACCAGGGGACTGGTTTTTTTTGTTAAAAATTCATGAAAATATAAGCCCTTAATTCTATGCATTCATACTCAAAAATAAATGCACTAAAAATCACGGCTTTTTGGAGCAGTAAGGGCACTGAGACCAAGCAGTTCCATCTATTTTACAGTTGAAACAGGCTCCGAGTTTAAGTGACTTGCCCAATGCCTACGGGGATATGGAAAGAAAAAAAAAAAAATCAAAGACCTCAATTATATCCCACATTCTCAAAGAAACTAAGAAACATCTCCAACATTGGTGATTTCTGCAACAGATCACTCTGACACGGGGGAATTTTAATTCAATCTTCCCTGCCCTGCGGTTAAAAGCGGTCAAATCACATCTGATTAAATTCATTCTCCAGCCAATTGCCCTAGCATGCTGTGGGCAGGCTCAGTAGAGATGTGCTTGTTTTCCAGCACCCTCTCCAAACTGGCAAAGGCGCCACTTCCGTCATCTCAGGGGCTTCAATACCACGGTAAACGACCCGGTTTGCTCTGTACTTTTTCCACACTTGTATTTAACCACTTCTCCGCCCCATTTTGGCAGAGGGAATGCACCAACGAAACTATCCAATTTGTTGGGCAGCTGGTGAAAGTTCTTAGCCCTACAGTGTCCGACACCTAGAAACTGATCTTTTTGAACGGTTAGTTCTTCAATTCACAAACAGAAGAAAGATCCCATGTGCTGTTTAGAAAAACAGAGATGGAGGGCTGTTTCCACCCAGTCTCAAGCTTCCTTTCCTCCTCTCATTCTCTGGGGGCCGAACAAGTGCAGTCAGCCATAGACACTGTGTGCTGTCAGCTCAAGTTCAACAGCAGTGAATCATAAAAAAGTCGCTGTAAATTAAGTCACATGCCCGTGTGAAGTTTTCTGCGTGTAAGCGGAGGACTTACATTTATTTACTTACCCACTTCTTCAAAGGTCATTTAAATGTAGAAACGTATTTCCTTTTACTATTGGAGTCAAAGGCCAACCTTTACATGTGACATGACTATAAGGAAACTGATTTTCACAAACCTCTTGTACAAATGAACTGAATACTGTAGTTTACAGACGCTGTTGGGTGAGCCAAGGGCCTCGAGGACGCAAGTTTGTACTGGCTGTGGGGGCCCGCTCCCTGCTGTCACTGCATCACAGTAACAAAAGGATACACTTGCTTTGCATAGAAATAGTGATAAAAACACAGAGACATTTTTTCCACTTATTTATTACATTTGGACCTTTAAGAAACATATACCATCAGATATCCCGCTATTCAATAAAAATCTATTCTAGTTTTTGGGAAGCATATGTGTCACAAACTATCTTGCTTCTAGTCTCCAGGACTTTACTAAGAGTTTATCAAAAAGGTAGGCTCTGATCTATGGGATCCTGAGCCTTGAGGTTTTGAGTTTTGATTATTGTAGAACAATTTCACATGGACGAACTGAATTCCCAGCTGTTTTCCTCCTGGAATGGGCTCATCATTTTGAAGTTGTCTAGTCCACTGCAAGAATATTCAATTCCTTAAGCTTTGTGACCTATTCTGTCTTTGGAAAACTTGGTAAAAAAGTAATTTTCTTTTTCTGTACAGTAAGGATGAATTTATCAGAACACACCCAGTATGAATTATAACAAAAAGGAGTATACATAATGTGTATGTGCCATGTTCATTTTAATGACTACTTCATAAGCTGGTAACTACTCGAACAATGGAGACTATTTCTGGATCAATACGATCCAAGCTTAGTTGTAGTCAATCCTTAACACAACTCTTGGTATCCGACACTGATTAAAAATAAAAAAGGGTAAATGAACAAATATATACTCATACATGATTACGTTTTCAAGAAACTACTCTTTGTGGAAGTATACAGGAAAGGGGACTTTCGGGAAGCTGTTGATGGGGACTGGGAGGTTTAAAGCTATGGCTTTGGTAAGCATCCCAGTGAGCTGTAGGAAGGCATCTGGAAGAGTCGATTGTGCAGCATCAAAGGCTAACTCTCTAAAAGAGGTGGGCGTTTTCTCGGTTAATTTAAATTCTGAGACTTTCAGGAGTTGAGGGCTAGAAATAAGACCCAAAGAAAAGAACCATCTTCACAAAGGCTTAAGAAAGGGGAAGGTGCCATTTGGCTTGTGATGCTAAATGGTCCAAAAGCCTTTGGTGGTGCGATATGGACAAGAAAAATATTAATACACAAACCACATAACACCATTAAAACTCAAAAAACATCTTTTTTTTTCCATTTAAAAAAGTATTTAGAACACATAAAACAAGGCAACATTTATTCTTTCTTCTCGTCTTCCGGCGCGGGGTCTGCGGGCGGCTCCTCCACTGTGGCACTGTTGCTCTCTGAGCCAGTGTTACTGTCACTGGTCCCCTCCTCAGCCATACTGTCCACCCCCTCCTGCCCGCTCTCCTTGTCCTCAGGAGTAGATGTGCCTTCTTCACCATTCTGTTGGCTTTCCGTTGCTTCTTCAAGGTGTGTCTCCTCTGTAATCACACACGTGTCACTGTCAGTTCCAAGACACAAGCTGATTCTTCTAATTACGCGGACTGTCTCGAGCTATGCTGTCCCTCACCAGAGCCCACGCGCCGCGTGTGACATTAAGCACCGGGACGAGCCAGCGTGACTGAGGAAATGTTAGCACCTTGGAAACAATTCATGAATTGGTCTGAAGATCTACTTCTTAGCTGTAAATTTACAAAAGCTAAATACAGATCAAGTATTTCTGATGAATATTCAGCTTCTAAATTTAGATGTGCTAACAGGTATAAAACACACACCAGATTTGGAAGACTTAGTATGAAAGAAATGTAAAAAATTAATCCTTAAAAATGCTGATTACATGTTGAGATACTGTTTAAGATATACTGGGTTAAATAAATAAATATGTTACTAATACTAATTCATTTGTTCTGCTTTACTTAAAAAATGTTAGAAAATTTACAATTACACAGTGACCTGCATTTTATTTCTATTGGACAATGCTGTTCTGTGCTTTGGATTTAATTAGTGAGAAAGCAGGTATGGAAATGATATAAGGGTGATATTTTAGGTACTTTGTTAAATGTCATGCTGGGTTGTTTTCTGTAAGAAATTAAGAGCATGAGGTTTTTGCTCTAATAGTCTCAATTTTGTTTTTTCCTTCAGCTAAAAGGATAAAATCTGGGTAAAGACCCATAGGCATGCTCTACTCATAAATGAGAGAACAGTGGCAAAGGACAGAGTGTTCTGTCTAGTTGCAAAATGAGCAAAGGAATCATACTCCATACCCTAATTCTCAAGCTCCTGCTTTAACCATAAAAATGCACTTATGCTCCAAATTTAAGATAAAAAATATGTTCACACAAAACAGAAAAAGGGTCAGATAACGAAACTTAAAATCTGACTATGTGAAATGCTAATCTGCTGAATTAAATTTTGTAGTAACATCTGGTAAAGCGATCTATATTCCATTAAATGTTTTCCTGATGTCAAATCACAAGTCAGTTGAATGCCAAGTACGACTACTGTCCCTCCCCCTTCTTGCAGTGATGGTCCAGGGAGCCTTTGGCTGTATTTCCTATAACACTTTTAACTTACTCCTGGTTTGCACAGGGCACTGGGCAGGGTCAAAATAGTGCCAGAAGGTGAGGTGATCTCAAAATTTCAAGTAATCAATTTAATCGGTATTTTATGAAAGTTTTACATGTTACTCTGTGCCTTGAGGAATGCTTTTAATCAGGAAAATCAGTATGCTTGGAAGTAAGAACTTCTCTTGGATGGGGTCAACAAACCTTTTCCGTAAAGACTAGATAGTAAATATTCTGGGTTTTGTGGGCCAGGCGTCTCTGCAACGACTCAACTATACTGTGGGAGCCCCAAAGCCGCCACAGATCATTCGTAAACACACAGGTAAGGCTGTGTTCCAACAAAACTTTATTTATGAAAACAGGTGGCAGGACAGGATTTGGCCTGCAGGTTTTGCTTGCCCAACCCTGTCCTAGGACACCAAAGACGCGTGATCCTAAAAGCAACAACCACATACTACGCTTTAGCAATAAAGGTCAAAACACTGAGTGCCAATACCACGTCAAAACTAATACTAAGTGATTTTATGTACATTTCCTTATTTGTCCTCCGGAACTCACTCTCAGAGGCCAGTACCAGAGTACCTACAAGTGAGGAAAGAGATTAAATAAATTATCCAGTCACATGCTAGCAAGTGGTGAGAAAGAGTTTTAGAGCTAGATCTGCCTGACTCCAGGGCCAGTATCCTCCACCATTCCTAGCACTATACTTTCTATGCCTGACCTGGAAAATGACATGACTCAATCCGGACAATAACCAAGACCTCAAACAGCCACACTAAGGACCAATGCCCCACTGCTGTTTTGTATGGACATCAACATTTTATGTGCATCTACTACAGAGGTTAGGATTTGGGAGGAAACGTGCAGATCATACAGAGACTCGCCCCTGACGCTGACTTTGTGGTCAACGGGCAGGTTACCTGTCTCCATCGGGATGCTCTCGTCGTCCTTCTTCTCCTCGCTCTTACTAGCAGCTTGCTCTTCCTCAGGAACCATGCTGCTCTGACTGCGTTCAGCTTGCTCTGCTGCTTCTTTCTCTCTTTCCTCCTGCCGTTTTCGAGCCTGTTCCTCCGCCTGTGCAATTTCGGCGGCAATTTTTTCCATGTCCACTTCGACTTTCAAACCGCACAACTAGTAGTCAGAAAGGAAGGAGACTCTCTTAGTAATGTTCTTTTCTTATGATCTCTGAACCAGAGAAATTATTTCAAAAGTGGGTTTTCTTGGCTGTGAACTATATACATATATGTGGGAGGGAAAAAACAACGTGGTTCTAGGTCTTCTCTGAAACTCCTGTGTCTACGGGAAAAGACAGTTGCTCCGGTAGCCACATAACAGCAAGCGCTGCGGAATGGGTGGTGAGGCGATGCTGAAAGCAGTGGGTTTATACAGAAGGCTTCCAGTGCCTATTTCAAGCTACCAAACACAAGATTTACTTGTTGTGATACAAAGTGTATACTATAAGCTACCTTTAATGAATAAATCTCAAAAAAATGGAAACAACTCATGACTGCATGAGTTTAAAACACCCGGGGATTCTAGGGTCTACAGGCCTAGTCCTAGTACATGTGTGGATACTACCGGTATCTTTTTTTTTTTTTTTTAAAGATTCAATTTATTTATTTGACAGAGAGAGACACAGCGAGAGAGGGAACACAAGCAGGGGGAG